GTCAGTTGCCTGCGTGGCCATGTGATTTTGCGATAAGCTGCTACGAGTTCAAAGCTTGTGAAAGTGATAAAACGTGTGGAAGTTTTTTATGCGTTTTTTGCATCTATGCAATGCAAGAACGCTTACTGTCGAGGGGTTGCCTGTGTGTGTTTGTTGTACCGATTTTTCGTCTCGAGATATGCAAAAGTAACAAGGCTGAAACCTTGGAAAATTTTTCTACATGCATATATGGGCCTCCATCCCTAAAATGGGCACTCTTACCCACAGTTTCCACTTACGGGTCCATGAAAGTTTTTTACTGGTAAGTTATTAACTCGGGAACCTGTAAAGCTAGAGGACTGAATTTTAGGGGGATGTTCCCTATCTATACGAACCTTAATGAGTCTAAACCAGTCCCAAAATGTGCGTGGCTCCTACGTGCGGGCCCGCGAAAGCTTTTAGCGGGTGAGTTGCAAACCCAGGAAACTGAAAAGATAGAATGTTGGAATTTCAAAGAGATGTCCCCTATCCACATACAATTTAATAATTTCAAATTCAACTTTAGATGCGCATCGCTCTTCCCATGAAAACTTTCGACGGGTAAGTTGTTAACTCAGGAACCAGTTAAGCTAGAAAGCTGAAATTTTAAGGCAGTGTTTCCTAACAGTTCTGGTGGCCAGTTTCAATTCGTTTAGCTAGAAACATTTGCCAGAAAAATTAGTGCCGTTAGCCGCAAAAACATGCGGGAAACACTGCAAAAAATGCATCTTCGCACCGGTAGTTGATGCGCTAGCCAATTATTTTAATTGTGACAATATTAAGACGGACATCAATAACAAAAACAAGACAGCAGCATTACATGGCGTTGGGATGGCACCAATTAACGGAAAATCTCAAACTTCTGAGGCGTCCCAGGAACTGAAATTACCAACTCGGCTCAAAAATAACCGACCTGAAGAAACTGGCGCAAAGAAAACAGAAATGTCGGACATGATTTTTCCCGACATGGAGGAAATAGAAACACTTCCAGAAATTTCCGTGAAGAGCAAACTGCGTAAGTTTACGGTAAAGGAGCAGCCAGAAGAAAAACACCTATCGGTAATTATTCCCATTAGTCTGTTTCTTCTATTTTCATAATCCCGAGCCCCAAAGTAGAAAGTCCCGAAGTTAACTATTTGTTCCTCTTCAACACTGCAGCTATATTTATCACCTC